ATTTTCGCAGCTGCTTAAAGATCTTGGCTTTTGTCTTGTATCATAGTCTCTAAAGGACAATATTGGCAAGTTCTGTAGTTTCTGAGGGGTTTTTTTAAGTATTCTTGGAAGAAAGCAGTATGGATTATTGCTTAGCTTATACCTGATGAATGTTGGGAATCACTTACACAGAATATAAAGAAATTAGTGTCTTCTCTTGGGTAGAAATGTGTCTGTGACAGAACAAGATGGGGTCAAATTAGGAAACCTTTTAAAGACTTCTGGGTGTTTGCAGACCTAGGCATAGAGCTGCATTTTCTTTTGTATGGGATTTTTTTGGGGTTTTTTTGCTTCATGTGGAAGGTAGCGTGTTCAGTATTCCTAGTGTATCTTTTGTATGAAGTGTGATTTAACACTTTACAGTGTTGACCAGCTTCTCTTTTATAATAGGAAAGGTTTTATAGGGTAAAAGGCAGTTACCTCCCTGATAATATGTTCAAAATAATCTGCAAGCAGTGAAATGTAGATTTGCTGTTGAGGAGAACAAAGCTGTGAAGTGATGTTAAAACTAAGCTCTATTTATCTTTTTATTTTCTTTTTTAACAAAAATAATTTCAGTATTCTGGATTATTGTCTACATCACTTTCTCTACGTAAAATTCAGGCCTTTTCTGCTTGACCATTTGTGTGACCTGATTAATTTTACCTTTTAAAATGTTGTGTGTGTCTTTGAAGGCACAGCTGGATGTTTTCACTGCTGCACATATATGTCTGATACAGAACTTCGCTGTGGCTCCTGCATCCCCCTCTGCTTTCTGTTGAGATCCTGACATAGGGGCATAGAGGTTATTTTAGGGCAGTTTATTGTCTGTGCTTATGCTGGGGCTGCATTTGTTCTGGGAACAAACAGCCAGAGTACCCCAAAGGGAGAGAGCAGTTCACTGGTTTGTTCCTGAGCAGTGCACAGAAACGGGACTGAAGGTGATGCCGTAGAAAAGTTGTTGTGTAGTATCAGGTGAAGCATATTCCAGTTCAGCATCCTGAGGGATGAAAGAGGGTTTGTAGGTAGTACTGAATATAAAATAAATGGTCATCGTGTCTTACAGAGAAAGCTGAGACCATTCCTAAAGAATCCGGAGATTAAATAGTTACACATAAACACCTCCAGTATTTGTATGGAAGTATTTCCAAGGCTCAGTCAATTAGATTAAGTTTAGGTCACTGTGAGGGCCACCAGCTGCAAAATAGAGACTGCTGAAAAATGACCTAGTGATTGTATGAACATCCTTCCACATGTTTCTGATTTACAATCAGAATTTTTTAAAGCTGAAAAAATTATCTTTATTCCTTGCATTTCTGGATAAGAAACAGATTCCTTATATCAGTTACTGTGTTATAAATGAATAAAGCACATTTCTAAAATCATGCACACTAGTAAACAGAAACCAAACTACCGTTAACAAATACAAATGGTAACCAGAGTAGTAGTGCTGTCTGCGATTCACCCAGACCCCTCTGTTGAACATATGTTCTCCTGAACTGTGCCTGTGTACCACCAGTTCTATCCTGAATCTAAAGCCAACCTACTCCCATTTATTAAAATTTCTTAGAATTCCTTCCTGGATTGACAGCACTTCTTTGTAACGATATCGTGATTTATCGAGAGCCGTTACTGTGTCTGCAGGGACACCGGTGTCAGGGCTCCAAGACTCCTTATGCATTTTCCTTCTGTGTTCCTGTCATCTGTTCCTTCTGTTATCCATAGCATCTGCTTTACTCCCCGTGTTTGTAGCTAATCTTCATATTTATCTATTTTTTCCTTGTGTTGTTTATTTATTTATTAATTATTTAATGTTTATTAATTATTTTTTTTCTTGTGCTTTATAATAGAGGAAGAGTGATTTCTTTCCTACCTCCATAGATGATGAATTTATGCAATGAGTTATGAGACAAAGACGTCATTAGATGTTATTAAGGTTATTTTCCTTTTAAATTAATCTGGTTGTTAGAAATGTAAATTTTGGACAAAATAGTTTAAGAATTTTTCTGATAAATGTGAATATTTGTGGAGTTTCCTAGCTTCCAATAGCATATACACTGTTTGAGTTACAACTGAAAAGTTCATACTCTTGCAGGAGTATTGGAAAATGATCGCACTCTTTCGGTGTATAATATATTGTTATAAAAATAGCATGCTCTCCTTTTGTGGGGGTTTTTTTTTAGGTAGGAAATTCCTATGGTTATTGCTTGCCATGATCAAGTTGGGAAACAAAGAATGCAAGTGATTTGTATTGTAACAGTGGAATGTGAATATGCTAAAGAAGTCAAAAATCTTGAAATGTAAACCGTCTGGTTTCTATAAAGGAGTTTCTTTCCTAATCCATGCCACTTTTATTAGCAGAGCACTGAAGTAAATATCTCAAGAAGTAAGCCTTAAAAGTATTGAATACCATCAACAAAAGGCAAAATTGTTTGGAGGCTAAAGGAAGAAATGTAGACGGTTGGATTAAATTACTCTTCTTTCTCTGTCTTTCTTTTTCTATTTTTTTACAATGACTTTGTGGTATAAATTTTGTGGAGAAAAAAAAATCTTATCAGTTTTGTTGTAGTTTTGAGTACTTTAATTTTGTGAGGTAAAGTTTAGCCATAACTCAATGTTTTCTGGAAATCTGTGAGGCTTTTCCCCTGTCAATGACTTGAGTATCAACATGTTCTACTGTGTGCTTAAACAACCTTGCTGATTATTGTGCAGTCTGGATAATGCTCATAATATTTAGCTTAGGATTCAAGAAGGTTCCATCCTCACTTGCACAGATAAGACTTGGAAAACACATTTTTTCAGAATAGTTTGTCCAAAGCTATTTGGAAAGTGGACCTGAAATTTCATTTTTCTCAGTTGCTGTGTTTCTGGTTATGTCTCTGTTAGTGTTTTAATTAGGATTAGGAGTGCAATTTTTGAAACAAGACTCCTGATAACCCCAACTTACTGCACCTTGATTCACATCACGGCTCCCTCTGAAGTACGTGGACCCTTTTTGGATGTAACAAACCAGAAGATGGATGTGTATGTATTCAGGGGTGCACTTGCTAATGGATTTTAATTAGTGGCTGGGGCTACTCTGAAGTGAAGCTCCTGTCCCTAGAAAAACAGTGTGGGTTCTCTTGCCTCCACGCAAGTATTTTGCTCTTAACATCTTAATTTTGCACCTTAATTGCTAATGTAGACACAGTGTTGTAAACCAGATCAGGCTTTGTTTCTGTGTTTAGTGACTCTGCTGTAAATAAACTAATTAAGGTGTCTGGTACTTGTGTTAGGTTTTGCTGTTACTGATTAAAATAAGTAGCATTTTAATCCATATTTTGTTCTTAGTTTGAGTTTATTTCTTGCTTTAAAAGTCTAGATAGTATTCTGAAAATAAATACCAGAGCAAAGATGAAGCAAATATGCTTTGATAACAAAATCTATGTGGTTATGTAGTGGTATAATTTGGTTTATACAGAGCTCCACGCTTGCATGGCTGGGCTACTTTCTGTACCTGAATCAGTGCAGGTGTCTGTGTGCTACAGAACACTGCAACATGGAGCACTGAAGACATGCTGCTCCCAAAGGTAATCATCTAGAATACACCTTGCTGTATAACCATAGTTGGTAGTGCTTAAAAAAAAATATTCAGATATATTCAAGGAAATAAACATTTACGAGTATTGAGGAGCAATACCAGCATTTACCATAGTCCAGGATAGCGAGAACATAGACCTGGGTGTGGAATTCAAAATAAAGGTTACTGTCCAATATCCTGTCTCCTACAATGGCCTTAAGCAAATGCTTTGGGAAGACTGAGAACATGACAGGCGTATGTGATCCTTGTCTCATCCTGTTTCCAAATATTCTTCCATTCTCCAGCTATTTTCAGCTCAGCACTTTTGTACCTGCTGTGCTTTGTTTAACTGCCTGTAATGGGTCTCTTCCAAGACACACAATTACTTATTCAGTCTTCTCTTGAAACCACGGATAAAATTGCTGCTGCACCCACTGCGATATCAGACGTGCAGTTCAATGGGCTGGCTGCTCATTGCTTACAGACTCTTTCCGCTTTGAAGTAGAATATAGCTCGTTGGTATTAGCTGTGCAGAGGAATAGTCTAAATGGATAACATAAATATGGAGGAGTACTGCTGTTTGTACCTGTTCTACTTGATGAACACTTCTAATAAAAAGATTACATTACATGTTTATGTGCCTTCTAAAATAATACGGGCTAAAGCATAAGTAAAGTGTAAATACTAATGGTTCAGTTGTATCAATGAACATCCTTTTCCCTAGATCCTAAGACCTTTGATGAAAGGTTATTTATTGCCTACATTACTAATAAGCTAAAAACACCTTTGAAAGAGTTGTGGTACAAGCTGGAAAGTCAATATTTAATACACCTTGGCAGGATACCTCAAACGTAATTTGAGGAAGTTGTGGAACTCAAAAGTTTGTGATTTTCCTGTCCAATTAGAAATCGGAAGAAGAAACATCTGTATTTCTGGAAGGTGTAGAGGAAACTTGTAGAAGGACTTTTGCGATCTTACCCTCTCATTCTTCTCTGTGGTGTGTCTATTTTCTTCTGTCAGTAGTAGGATGTACAGCTTGGATGGGTTTTTGGTCTTATCCACCTGTTCCTCTTGAGCAGGACATGGGTTTGTATGTTAGTCATTTTACAACTTGGATTAGTTTAGAACACAGAAGCTTTTTCAGGTCAGTTTTCTTCAACTTAAGCTTCTCACCCAAGGAAAAGTCCATTTTCAACCCAGCTTCTATATCAGGCTGCTATCTAATGCTAAGGTGAGTCCTCTTTGCTCTTAGTATCATGTTTTTTACTACATCAATAGTAGGACATTTACCTACACTAAAATACTATCTCCGCTTTATAGATGTATCTTAAATATCCCAAACTATCCAACTGTTCTAAAATGGATCTGAATACCCCACAACTAAGGTGAAAATTCCATATATACTCATTTAACAAGGATTACTTCACTGAAAGTAGGGATTAAAGTAGCTGTCTTCTGTTTCATGATCTTCGCTTTCGTGATCTTCAGTTTCATGATTTTCTTCTGCTTCGTCGTATTCTTCTGGCGTTAAAAATCGTCGAAACACTGCTGTTCTTAGCCGAGTTGACTTGCTGACGTTAACGTTTTGTTCCCCATAGTAAATGGTTCTGATGTGAGGGAAGCAAAAGAAGGCATATGAGCTTAGTGGAATCGTAAGCTTATTTTGGTCCACCCGTATATAGGTTAATTGGTTGGTGTTCATCGGATCAATAGACGGACACATCAAAGTAACGTTTATGGCTGCAAGAGAGAGAAAAATATTCATTAAAATACAGAAAATAGTTCTATTTAAGACCTACTGCAAAAGTGAAATGTATTTATGTTTTGAAATTTAAAAGAACCATGTTTTTTGCAACAATGTAATCCTTCCCTGTGTTTTAAATTGGCTTTGTGCATGACAGTTATAACGTTTTCTGGGTTGGCAAAGTATGCGTTTGTGAGGTAAAGGGAAAAAAATACTACCACTACAATTTGGAATTATTGTTTTATGTGAATGGAATATTTTCATGATTCCTTTGCTCTGTATGTTTTTATTAAATGCCTGATCAGAAGCAATTTTCAAAAAGGTTTTAGCTTGTTATATGAAAAGCTGATACTAACTTTTACAAAAAATTGCTAACTAGGGATAAAGTGCAAACCCAAAATCCTCTCTGATTTTACCAGTTTGGTCTCAGCTAACCAGGATGTGTTGACACTGCATCTTTTGAACAAGGTGGGATGATGTTGTTCCTGCTCTGTAAGCTGATCAAAAGCTACAAAGCTGCATTTCACAGAATCCCAGAACGTTAGGGATTGGAAGGGACCTCAGAAGCTCATCCAGTCCAATCCCCCTGCCGGAGCAGGAACACCCAGATGAGGTTGCACAGGAAGGCATCCAGGCGGGTTTTGAATGTCTGCAGAGAAGGAGACTCCACAACCTCTCTGGGCAGCCTGGGCCAGGGCTCTGTCACCCTCACTGAGAAGAAGTTTCTTCTCAAATTTGCTCCTGAGAAGTCCAGTGTGTATGAGCTCTGGGTCAGTGTCACATTGACTGATCAGTTCAGAACAGTAACAGCTCAAGCTCACCTCTCTGCAAAGGAGGACATCAGAGCACCTCTTGAGCAACATGCAAATCTGGGTGACTGCAGGGTTCTGTGCTTGGTTTCTGCATGACCTGAGGAGATGCAGGTCCTCGAAACCAAGGATACAACAGAAGAGATGCTTCTGATAGTAAGCTAAAAGTACTTAATTCTGGATGGGAATGAAAATATGCCAAACTTGCCCCCCTCCCACAGCCAATGCCAAAATACACGAAGTTCTTTTGCTTTTAAAGAATTGTGACCGTCAACATACTTTCGATGTTATTGTCTTCAATATACAAATGCTGCAAGCTTCTTGGAATGTAGAATACTTCTTTCAGTTTGTTGTGTCCAAGATTAAGTTCTAGAAGGTTGGGTAGATTGAAGGTGTTGGGTGGAATGTTCTGCAGGTTATTGTGGGACATCCTCAGAGCAATGATTTTTGGAATTCTGGTGAAATAGTTTTCTGGAATATAGGAAATGGAATTGTTTTCGAGAGAGAGATACATGAGTGATGATGGGAGATCAGGAGGCATAGTCTGTAACTTGTTGTTGCATAAGTTGAGCTGCATTAAGTTTTTCAGGTTCGAAAAGGGCTTTTCTTTGAGCACTGAGTCGTCAAGGAAGTTGTTGCAAAGGTCGAGCATGGTTATGTTAGGTAGTCCCTCCAGTGCGTTTCCAGATACCTGAGAAATTTTATTGGAACCCAGGAGTAGTCTCTCCAGAGAGCTGGGGAGTGGGAATGGAAATTCTTCTAATTCGTTATGTTGTAAATGAAGTTGCACTAAGTTTGCAAGTCTGGCAAAAACACCGTGATCAATCATCCGAAATTTAATTTTGTTGTGGCTGAGGTTGATTTCTCTTAAGAAGGAAGCATTGGTGAATGGCCCTGCAGGCACGGCTTCGATGTCATTGTTCTGCAGATAAAGCTGTTGGACGTGGCTGGGGATGTTTGGGATTGTCTTCAGTTGACGGTGATCGCAGTACATCGATAGCGGAAAAGCTGGTGGACAGAAGCATTCTCTGGCACACTCGACTGGGAAAGGAAAGCGAGGAACTTCGGCCTGTGTATTTGGATTGAAGTAATATGGATGCTGATGATCTGACTCCTCCTCATATCCATCCTCAAAGTCATAGTCTTCGTACTGACAAAAGACCATAGCAGCCCAGAGGAGGTGAATGATTGATAGCTGGGCCATAATCCTCATGTTTGAATTTGTGTGTTGTATCCTGTTGAGAAGGAAAAATAAGTTTATTAGCTAGTCATAAAGTAAATTGCATATAGGCTTCAGTTTTAAGAAGCAGCAATATAAAATAAATCAAGTAGAATAATGCACTTTTTGGCAACACTATCAGTGACATATTAGCAAAAACAAGCTTTAATTTTTATTTTAAAGAAGAAAAAGCCATAAACACCATCCTTGAAGTAAACATAAGTTTTCTTCTCTGGCTTTAGATGAGGAACAGCTTTCTACCTGTGCTGTGCTTGTTGCTGAAGGATACCATAATGGTGGGGAGTAGGAAAAAAATCTTCATTCCTTTCTCACTTGAATTTCTTAGAGAAGTTGCAAAAGGATGTTTTATATAAAGTGGTATAGTCTGGGGTTTGCTTGGCCATTGGAGGTGCTGTATTCTGTCTGGTGTAATGGGTTAAGTGTCAGCCTTACAAGTCAGTTTTAATGGGTGCAGATGAAGTTCCTGACCAACATTTCTTCCTCAGACCTTTGGAAACACATAGCTTATTCTTATTAAACTCTTATTAAACTCTGTCAAGATGAAAACTTCTTTGCAAATGCATTAGTTATTCTCCCTCTGAACTTGCACCACACAAATGGTGCGTGGTCAATACTACAGAATCATCAAGTGTTGTCTGGAAAGGACTTCTGGCAATCACACAGACCAGCCTGGTGCTCTGAGTGTTTCCATGCCCAACAGGAGATTACTGGCATTTCATGTTATCTTTCTATTTTCTGCAAAACTTGACTGACTTAGTACAATGCTGTTCTCGTCATTAAATTAAATCTAATACAATTCAACCATTGAGTATTGCACATCATGTAAAGTCTTCATTGACAGAAATTTTCTTTATAGTCTTGCCATGCTTCTGTAACCAAATGTTCTTTTTAGTTGTGAACTGATTTACCTTCCAAGTGCCCTTCTGAGATGAAATACTGATGTTGTGGAAGACAAATGATTTTTTGCATGTGAAATTTCTGCTGCTCAAACTAGACTAACATTGTAGAGCACTTCATGCAGTCAGAGGAACCCTGTTATTTGGCAGAATTAGAACAGTGAATCATGTCAAGCTGCTCTGCTTAAACAGCTGAGTCAAAATGTAATATTGCAGGTCAGTGCACGTAAATGATGGAAAATTTGAACAGACTTCACTCATGGAAACCATGAGGCAGAGGAAAGGAGATATTCTCAGGTTTTTAATAATACCATTCAAGTTTCTTAATCAGGGAACTCTTTCTTTTTGTGATGCTTTTAATATTTTTACCAATCTCAATCAGTAACAAAAGAGATGAGACTGGAAAATGGTCATTTCCTGTGTTTCCACAGTGGTGATTAATGCTAATGATGTATTCTACAAATTGCATGAGAGAGAGAGAGAAAATTCAAAGGAAAACAAAAAGTAGAAACCAAATTATGGCATTTCACACATCTTAATAATCTTCCTATTTGCACACAGCCCGTGTGTGACAATGGCTGCTTGAAATAATTGGTGGTATTGTCTAAATGGCATTTCTAGCTTTGTATAATTTGTATTTGAATGCTCCCTTCATCAAGCTTCATAACTAATTAAAATCTTCAAAGCAGGTTTGGATGGAGTCAGTTCCTTGGATCCCCTCTGTATGGAGGTGCTCAGCAAGGTAGGGTCTCCGTATCCCTACAGCATCATCAGATGAGCATCATCTGAGCTCATCTAAGTAAATAACAGAAATATGTCAACACAGAGAGCAGCCTGGCACTACAGCATTGTGTGAACTATGCTGATACACTTTGCAGACAATCAGTTAAGAAACCATACTGTGCTTCAGGAGGAATTAATTGGTTTTCAGGTTTCAGGCAGTGCATATTGGGAGAATACTTCATCACCATATTTCTAACTTCCTGTCAGACCTGGGGGTGTCTGCCTATGTACAATCTGTGTCTAAATCCTGGGACTTCATTCTGGTTTTCACATAATCTGTCCCCCATGTCTACTTCATGTTCTTGGTTTCCTTTTGATTCCTGTTACTCCCTCTCGGTTTCACTCCAGATTTTTAGCTTCACTTTCTGGTTCTGTTCTCTCAGCACTTTTGCTAGGTGCCACAAAATTTCCAATTTCCAATAATTTTGGTGCTCAGTGCCACAATTGTCCTTAGATAACAGGAGGAACAACTTGGGAAAGTCCTACCCAGTTTGAGGAAAAAGCTTTCTTAGGCCTCCGTGCAGCTGATCCACTTGCCAGATAAACCATGTCAAGAGAAATATCATCACTTCAGATGGAGTGAGAAGTAATCGGTACCAAAGTCTCTCACTGGTTTTATAGAGAGACTGGAGCTGGTATCTGGGAGCATTTTGTTAAATACCTTGGCTGTAGCTGAGTGCATTTTTGTTAGAGCAGTAACTGTCCTGTCATGCTTGCAGGTCGTATCTCAAAGCACTGAGATCCTAACACTTCTTTAAATAGTTGTAAGAACTAAACTAGCTTTAAAACAAAGAGTCATGTCAGATGAAGCTTGCTAAAGGAGGAAGCAAGTCAGATGAACACAATACGATAAACTTCATTCTTACAAAGTTGAAAGACAACAGAAAATCTTAACATTTTGTTTCTCTACCATCTGTGATAAACTGAGAGCTTAGTAACTGTATTTGTAAGCAATTTACTAGCTGACAGCTAAAATATAACGTGCATGAATCACTGCTAACTGCAAAAACAGCACAATCGGTTCATTTTATTTCTGTTTACCGAGCAAACTTACTCTTTGGAAGTCTCTGAAGCTCAAGTTGTAGAGGACACCAAGTTAAAGTGCTGATGAAATCATCTGAGAAGTAGCCTAAGACAGCTGGAGGAACAAAAGATCTCCCTAAGCCATATTTTGTGGTGAGGAGCCTTGTGGGAAGGCAAAGCAAAATAATAGCCTTAGCTCCTTTGGTGATTTGTCAGTGAGGAGAGAAAAAAGTGGTGTGCCACATCATCAGTGACTGTCGATGCTGTGTCACGAGTCTGTGAAACCATTTGTCCTTTTGTTAAAGTAACTTCAGAATTATTTATGAGACTATGGCAGTGTTACCAGGTCCCAGTAAAAACAAATTTGAGAGTAAGGCTTCAAAAAATATGACCGAGATCATCGGTTCGTGGTGTGGTTTCAACTGCAGTGATACAGTTATGCAAAGGATTTGTCCTCTAGAGGATGAAGTTAAGCAACAGTAGAAAATCAGTGTTATCAAGAGTGAGAGAAAGCTGCTGCCATAGAAAAACCCTTATGAACTTCTTCTATTTTGTACTTTTTCCCTGCACATCCATATTTCCTGTTTCCTTCCTGCACTGTGGGTGTGCTTTGGTGCGGAGTTGGACTTCTCAGTGTGGTTTTAACATTGTAGTTCAGGATTCACAGTGCATTTCCAACGTGTTTTTGCTAAGCTGTACAGACACAGCATCAATCTTCCTAGGAAACAAAACTATGACATGAGATAGAAATCATTTTACTGAAGAAAAATATTTGTCATAGCTTTTAAAAGGCAGGGGGAAGGACATGGTGATTTGCTTTTGCTGCGATGTGGTACTTGAATAACTGAGAGACATGCAAAAAATGGAGAAAAATAACCTTATTTTGTTGAAGGGAATGTAAGTGCCTTTGAGGTATCATATTTGAGAAAATCATGCAGTAATAAGTTTTACTGCTATTTTTTGTCTTTAAGCTTCCTGAAGCTGATGATTTGTTTGACCTTTTCAAGTTTCCTCTCTACCACTGAGGACAAGAACATCTAGGAGATAAATCACACACGATTCCAACATTGGGGCTATAAAGTACCAGAAGTCATGAGCACATCTAATATTGTAGGAGTTGGTAATACTGGAGCTAAAATAAACCTATCAGGAGACTTTAAAATCTCATGATGCATTTAAAAATCTATGGTGGCAGAGCAAGAGAGCCTGTCCTTTTAAAAAGCTGGAGCAAAGCTCTTGGTTTAAAGCCTGTTTAGCTGTGTAAGATGAGGAGGATCCAGCAATAGGATGTATTGAGACTCTGTTCCTTTTCTGTTGTTGCATGAGCTGTCTTGGATACAAACAAGTCCAGAGTTTGCGATCTTGGCCAAGTTTTCTTCTCTTAGTTTTGGTCTGAGGCGTGGTAGGAATTTCCTTACAAGGAGGATAATGAGAGGATTAAATTTAACATCACTCATGTAAGACGTCTTGTTTCAAGGGCTGTGACAAATCTGTGAAGTGTTCAATGTGTTTTAAAAACACGTTTCATGAGGACTTTGTTTTACCGTTGCGTTTGTAAATCTGTTCTCATCACTTTATTTATGCAGTTGTGACGCAAAGCGGGATGTGTATCAACCCAGTCAGTGTTGGTCTGGAGCAGATTGATTTTTCTTAAACCAACCTTGGATGTATCCCTTTTGTTAATTGAAAGATTTGAAATTTTATCATCTTCATTAACTGCATTCAACTGTTGAGGCTTATTGCTTTTTTAACTTTGCTTCTGAACTGAAGGCTTAAGAAAGGAGGCTGTTGTAATATTTTGTGATTTTAGGTTTGTTCTGGTAGTTGAGTAAACTTAAAAAAGATTGCAATTCTGAATTTTAGCCAAGTATTCATAAAACAAGTAGAGAAGAGAACCAGTGGCACTGAGGTGAGTGGGATTAGCCCTGAGATAAAAAGGAATAAATTATCCTGCTTGGCCTTTTGCCTTTACTCAACATTTTACTATAAAACATTCTTGGGTTTCACTGCCTCCAGCCTCACCCACGCCAAACTTCAATCATCCTTATGAAGCCTAGAGAATGGGGGGAAAAAAGAGTGCATGTTGTTCATTTGAGGGTTGCAGGAATTGAAGTGGATCTGAGATGTGTAAATCAGAACTGAGAGCTGTTGTGGAGGCATGGTGTCAATAGAGTAAGGAAGTTGTTCAGCTAAAGTCTGGTCCTGCCATCAGACGGCTGAAGAAAAAACCTCAAGCTCCAAATTTTCAACCTCTCAGCAGACAATTTTGAA